GTACAAAAAGGAAGGCTGTGTTCACTTCTTTCAGTGTGTATTGCATTAAGGGGGGGTACAGCTTTAATTGGTGAATGTATGTTCAAATAAAGAAACCTTCCAAAATTCATTTCTCCCCCCATTTTTCAACTGCAGGCACACTCTCCACCCCCAAAATATTTTTTTTTTTTTTTATACACTGGCCGTTTCCCACCAAAGGCAGGGGGCCCCCGAAAAAGAAAATTTTTCACCAATTCACTCAATCACTGTTTGCCAAAAGGGTGTTTTACACTACAGTTTTTAAAAACTGCAACATTAACACCCCTCCTCAGGGCAGGCACTGTACCCCCCATCTCCAGGCCCAAAGTCCGGCCTGGGGTTTTCCCCTGAATCCCTTCAAAAAGTTACTTTGCTCACACTCCAACAGAAAGCAAGTATTAAAAAACCTTTTCCCCATTCACTCCTATCAAACACGCTCAGCGGCCTGCTGGAACCAACCCCGCACACAAAACCTCCTTTACCCCCCCCCTCCAACCTTTCTAGGCCGCCCCCTACCCCCCCTTCCTTCCACTACAGACTGATACATCTTGGTCATTCTGTTCGTCCATTCTCTCTACATGTCCGAACCACCTCAACAACCCTTCCCACCCTCGGGACAACATTTTTTGGAACCCCCGCACCCCCTCCTAACTCCAAACTACGAATTCTCTGCATTATATTCACACCAAAAAGCCCTCAGACATGACCTCCACTGCCCCCGCCTTCTCCTCGCTCCCAACATTTCATCACCCACGTTCCACCCAAAAGGTTGGTAAAACTATACTCTCATCATTCCCCTCTTTGCCTCCAAGGACAAATTTCTTTGTCTCCACAAAACCCAAAAAGGGCCCCACTCACTCTTTTTTCCCCCATCAATTCATGATTACCCACTTTCATGACCCATCCGCTGCACTCCATCCCAAAACTGAATCTTCACCCCCTCCATACTTCTCCCCCCAAATCTGATTTTAAATCTTTATACCAAATTTTTTTGTTTTCCTCATAACCTACTCTTTCCTGTATTAAACTTTAATTTCTTCTTTTGCCACCCAAAACCAAATTCATCCACCAATCCTGCAACTCTCTTCAAAAACTCCCAAACACGTGTCATCACAAAGAGCAGCTGTGACAACTCCACTTTGTGTGTGATTCTTTATCTTTTAAACTCCACGCCTCTTGCCAAGACCCTCGCATTTACTTTTTTAAACAACCCCATCTATAAATATATTAAACAACCATGGTGACATCAAAACATCCTTGTCTAAGGCCTACTTTTACTGGAAAAAATTTCCCTCTTTCCTAAAATACTCTAACTTGAGCCTCACTATCCTCGTAAAAACTCTTCACTGCTTTCAGTAACCTACCTCCTACACCATTACACTTGCAACATCTGCCACATTGCCCCCTATCCACCCTGTCATACCCTTTTCCAAATCCATAAATCCCACAAAGCCCTCTTTAGCCTTATCTAATACTGTTCACTTATATGTTTCACTGTAAACACCGGGGTCCACACACCCCCTACCTTTCCTAAAGCCTCCTTGTTCATCTGCTTTTCCTATTCTCTGTCTTACTTTAATTCTTTCAATTATAACTCTACATACACTTTACCAGGTACACTCAACAGACTTATCCCCCTATAATTTTTGCACTCTCTTTTATCCCCTTTGCCTTTATACAAAGGGAAATATGCATGCTCTCTCCCAATCCCTAGGTACCTTACCCTCTTCCATACATTTATTAAATAATTGCACCAACCACTCCAAAACTATATCCCCACCTGCTTTTAACTTTTCCTATCTTTATCCCATCAACCCCGGGCCCTGCCTTACCCCTTTCATTTTACCTACTGCCTCACGAACTTCCCCCACACTCACAACTGGCTCTTCCTCACTCCTACAAGATGTTATTCCCCCTTGCCCTATACACGAAATCACAGCTTCCCTATCTTCATCAACATTTAAAATTCCTCAAAATATTCCCTCCATCTTCCCAATACCTCTAACTCTCCATTTAATAACTCTCCTCTCCTATTTTTAACTGACAAATCCATTTGTTCTCTAGGCTTTCTTAACTTGTTAATCTCACTCCAAAACTTTTTCTTATTTTCAACAAAATTTGTTGATAACATCTCACCCACTCTCTCATTTGCTCTCTTTTTACATTGCTTCACCACTCTCTTAACCTCTCTCTTTTTCTCCATATACTCTTCCCTCCTTGCATCACTTCTACTTTGTAAAAACTTCTATATGCTAACTTTTTCTCCCTTACTACTCTCTTTACATCATCATTCCACCAATGTATATATATATGCATGTGCGTGTCTGTGAAGTGTGACCAAAGTGTAAGTAGGAGTAGCAAGATATCCCTGTTATCTAGCGTGTTTATGAGACAGAAAGACACCAGCAATCCTACCATCATGCAAAACAGTTACAAGTTTCTGTTTCACAGTCATCTGGCAGGACGGTAGTACTTCCCTGGGTGGTTGCTGTCTACCAACCTACTACCTCCAGATATGTTACTCTATATACACAAAATGTAGTTTAAACCATTAACATTAATGTGATTATTTAGTGAATGGTAAAGAAAAGTTGTAAAAGTAAAGGTATTAGTGTTTTGGAGATAGGAAAGTAGGAAGTTGAAAGTGAACATAGACAAGAGTAATTTGATGAGGGTATCAAATGATTTAGATAAAGATAAATTCTTCTTTCTTTCAACATATCGGCCGCATTCCACCGAGGCAGGGTGGCCCAAAAGGAAAAACGAAAGTTTCTCCTTTTACATTTAGTAATATATACAGGAGAAGGGGTTACTAGCCCCTTGCTCCCGGCATTTTAGTCGCCTCTTACAACACGCATGATTTAATGAGGATGAATTCTGTTGCACTTCCCCATGGAGGTAAAAGGAAATAAACAAGAACAAGAACTAGAAAGAAAATAGCAGAAAACCCAGAGGGGTGTGTATATATGTGTAGTGTGACCTAAGTGTAAGTAGAAGTAGCAAGATGTACCTGAAATCTTGCAAGTGTACGAGACAGAAAAAAAAGACACCAGCAATCCTACCATCTTGCAAAACAATTACAGGCTTCCATTTTACACTCACTTGGCAGGACAGTAATACCTCCCTGGGCGGTTGCTGTCTACCAACCTACTATCTAGAATTATTATATTTCCCTACAATATATTTGCACATCAAAACATTCACAAATTTTCAAAATTCGCAAGGTTCTTGATCCCCCTAACCCTTGCGAATGTGGAGGGCCTCCTGTATATTGAAAGTGAATCAGATCATACACTGACAATATTATAGTAAAAGAAAAAGTCCAATGAAATGCGGTACAGTATAGTAAGGCCCCAAATTATGATATTAATGAATTCTTGAAAATTATCCATAAGAGTTTGAAACCTGGAACCTATTTTCTCACAAACATTTATGTTGTAAAAGGAGATGCATTCCTAAGCCATAATATTCCATATCCAATTTTGATTACTTTTTAACTAAGAATAGTTTTACATTCAGTACTGTTCCCATAAAGATAAATTGGATTTCAAATTGGAGAGGAGGAGTATGGAAGAAGTGAATGTTTTCAGATACTTGGGAGTTGACGTGTCGGTGGATGGATTTATGAAGGATGAGGTTAATCATAGAATTGACGAGGGAAAAAAGGTGAGTGGTGTGTTGAGGTATATGTGGAGACGAAAAACGTTATCTATGGAGGCAAAGAAGGGAATGTATGAAAGTATAGTAGTACCAACACTAATATGGGTGTGAAACTTGGGTTGTGCATGCAGCAGCGAGGAGGCGGTTGGAGGCAGTGGAGATGTCCTGTCTAAGGGCAGTGTGTGGTGTAAATATTATGAAGAAAATTTGGAGTGTGGAAATTAGGTGAAGGTGTAGAGTTAATAAAAGTATTAGTCAGAGGGCTGAAGAGGGTTTGTTGAGGTGGTTTGGTCATTTAGAGAGAATGGATCAAAGTAGAATGACATGGAGAGCATTTAAATCTGTAGGGAAAGGAAGGCGGGATAGGGGCCATCCTCAAAAAGGTTGGAAGGAAGGGGTAAGGGAGGTTTTTGTGGGCAAGGGGCTTGGACTTCCAGCAGGTGTGCATGAGCGTGTTCGATAGGAGTGACTGGAGACGAATGGTATTTGGGACCTGACAATCTGTTGGAGTGTGAGCAGGGTAATATTTAGTGAAGGGATTCAGGGAAACTGGTTATTTTTATATAGCCAGACTTGAGTCCTGGAAATGGGAAGTACAATGCCTGCACTCTAAAGGAGGGGTTTCGGGATGTTAGCAGTTTGGAGGGATATGTTGTGTATCTTTATACGTATATGCTTCTAAACTGTTGTGTTCTGAGGACCTCTGCAAAAACAGTGATTATGTATGAGTGAGGTGAAAGTGTTGAATGGTGATGAAAGTATTTTCTTTTTGGGGATTTTCTTTCTTTTTGGGTCACCGTGCCTCGGTGGGAGATGGCCGACTTGTTAAAAAAAAAAAATATGAATAATAATCTTCACATTTCTAAGGTTTTATTTTTTTCAAGGAACTTTTCATTGAGAGATGTTTTGCCTGCATGAAAGGCTTTATCATTCTTATAAAGTGACATATGAGCATTTATGTAACTGAATCAGTGAAGTGAAAGTTGGGTAACAATGAAGCAGTATTGTATTAGTGGTCATATCAGCATGATCATGGCTTAGTGGAGATGTATTGACCACATTCAGATGTAGGTACAGTAGCTGTATATTCAAATTAGTTACCTTGAGTCAATTATTCCTTGTCCCCTTGAAGTTTCTTTGATGCTGGTGAGGGGCTCTTCATCTAAGGAATAGTATCTGTGCTCCGATTCCTTGACTCGAGTCTGAATGACTGCCATTTCCTCAGGTGCAGTATGACTCTTACAGGTTTAGTGTTATACTTTGAATGTAATAATTACAATTTATTCCTCATGTCTGTGTTTAAAATTTGTTTATATTTTTAGGGCGATACCTTAGAATTGCTGGAGGAAGATGATGATGCCTTACTGGACAGTGATGTTGATGATGAAGTAAAAGAATCATTAACAAAGTGCAAGGCAATGGATGATGGGTAAGTTACAAACTTCAGAGTGTTATTTTTGTCTAATCAGGCCTCCACATTTGCTACATGTGTACTCACTACCTTAGGTCTTTTGCATGTAAATTACTTCATAAAAACAATTCAACTTGTTAAACATGACTCACGAAATCGTAATGACACGATTGCAAACAAACCATACCACGGGCGGGATTTGAACCCACAGACCGTTGCGACGGTCTGGAGTTTTGAGACTCTCTGACCGCAGGTTCAAATCCCGCCCGTGGTATGGTTCAACTTGTTAAAAAATGCAGAAACATCACTGTTGATACTCAAGTCTTTTGTGAGGGATACTGATAACTTTCTGTTTTTTGACATAAGGTCCTCTGAAACACAAGGGTTACTCCTTCATATCTAACAATAAACATTAATTAGATGGCAGATATGGGGGTATTAACTGCTGACTTTCAGTGTTGGTCCTGTTGCATCGTGGCTTTGAAGCCAGTGTCAGTCCTGCAGTATGACGCCATGAGCTTGGCTCACTCAGATAAGCTGTGAGCGGTAAATTTGGGCCTAGATATGAGAGAATGTGTCTGTGCAGTAAGTGTGCCCATATAAAAAAAAAATTCTGCAGCATGCAGTGCATAATGAGAAAAAACTGCAACCACATTTTTGGTTTAAAACATCGAGTTTGCGATGTATTTTCGTATGGTTTTTATGGTTGTATTCTTGGTCTCATTTGATAGAATGAAATACATATTACAGAAATAGAGATGATTCTAATTAGTTTCAGGAATGAAAGTCACTTGAAATTGAGCTCAAAGTAGCAGAAATGTTTGATTTTTGCCAATATTCCAGAGTACACACAATACACATACAGTTGGCCAGTCCATTACACATTTAGGAATCCACTGACATTATTTATACCATTATTACAATAATACAGGAGTCTGCATGAAAGTAAATTTTCTATTTTTTGTGTGAATAAAAATTCAAAATAAAAAGCAAGTGTAATATAAAAGGAGCCTGGAGACATGGCTAAAGAGCAGAGGGAATGTTTGTTTAGTGCCAGGAATGTGACCATTGTTTATTCTGAACCCTTATTTTCAAATTGGCAGTTATTAAATATTGTGAGAAATTAGCCAAATTACTGATTTCTGATCACATTATTGGGTAGTTGAAATGAGTAAATGGGCAGTTTCTTGTACTCAATTGATAAAATTGAAGGAATACTAGCGAAATCGCTATGCGTTTGGTTTGTGGGTGAAATTGCTGATGTGTAAATACAGCCTCTCCTCACTTAGCGACGTACTCTTTTACCAGCACCTCGGACTTACGATGGGCTCTTTGACCAGTATGCATACCTAAATAATGTATATTGAGCTGATTTCCTCTCTTCTGTTTATTTCAGTATACAGCATACTACTGTATAAACATTTAAAAATATACCAGAAATGTTATAAATGGTGCAGAGGTGTCATTAAGACAATAAAGATGGGTGACATAAACTCTCTACCATTATAGTATGCTCCTCACTTAGCAACGAATTCGTTTACTGACGTGGTCTTAGGAACGGAACTCAGTCGTTAAGTGAGGAGAGGCTGTATTGCCGAGACTGCTAAATTTGCGAGAGCATAATTCTGTGAATTTCCATCAAATTTTGTACTTTTGATTTCATTACCTTTGGAAAAAGATTCTCTATAATTTCATAAGATAAAGTAGTAGTATTTTTATTTTTATTTTTTTAATCGACCCTGAGAACGAGTTTGCGAGCAGAGGTCGCGACACTGGAAGGGTTAAGCTGTGCCCAGCATTCTAGTGCACAGGTGACAAGGATATGTCCAACATACTAGCACGCACAATTTTTCCTTGACACCAGAGCATCTTGTTTATTGTAAAATACAGTATGTCACTCCGGGGTGCTATGAAGCTGTATATTTATGCTATTATTGACAATTTTATTATTATAGATATTGCATGTTTTTCAGAATTATATAAGAAACACTCTACATATAAAAACTTAATACAAATATCCATAAAGAAGGAAATTGATATAAGTGAGGTGTGGTAGCCACAGGCACATAATGGAGTCTGTGCCGATTGTGTAGTATGACATACACTCTGACCAACTACCTCTAGAGAATCTTGTGTTTACAGCTAGGGGCAACTACAGAAGAAATGTAGAACAAAACTGTTTTCATATTCTTTTACAGATAAATAGCATCATTCGCTCTCAAAAAATAAAAAGGAAATATTTTCTCCCAAGTAATATGCTTGCCCCTTTTTCATCAAATATTTTGACATTGGAGAATAAAAAATAAAGCAATATTCAGGGCTACCTTCCCTTAAAGAAATAAATGTAAAAATGTGTTTAAACTGTGTGTGTGCATGTGCGTGCATGTGCATGCATGTGTGTGTGCATGTGCACATGTCGCTCAGTTGCTGTCTGGGATGGATGTTACTGAAACAAGTAAAGAAAAAAACTTGCATTAACCTTTACTCTAAATCTGGTCCTTGAAGTGTGTCAGTATAACATTAACAGCACAGACCAACTTGCAAATGATTAGAATTTTGGAATCAATATTAGTCATTAAAAAACACTTTTGCCATGCATGGAACACAAGTATGGAACCTTGCTAGTGTAAACATAGGAATAATTGCAAAAAAAATGCAGTCTAGTGTTTTATGTCACATGCTAGTGCTCAGGGATATTTACTGAAAAATTACAAGAAATAACTGAGTAATTAACTTAAATTGTCCAAGGTGCAAACAAAGAACAGATGCAATTGATAGAATTATTGGAATAATTTGTATAGACCTTGTATGCATGAACACAGTGGCAAACCCATGCCTAATTTAACGTTAAGAGGATCAATGCAAAAAAATAAAGATGGTAAAGTTTATGTCAAGCTTAAGCGGGAATGCACCGCTTTCAAAAGATTCACATGATGGTGATGAGGGCTTGAATTTAAGGATTGCACATCTGATGCTATAGTTACTGAATTTAGTGAACCTTGTTCCACATCTCCGGCCCCAAAAATAACTTCATTTTTAAATGGCGCTGCATAGATTATGATTAATTCTTAATTAAGAGAAGCCATGAAGTTCTTCCCATCATTGGAAAAGTGATAATTCTCCATTTACTGTGCATAATTTATGAACTAAGCTTTATAATAGGTATATATAGGACATCTCCATGGGGAAATGGAACAGAATTCTTCCTCCGTAAGCCATGCGAGTCGTAAGAGGCGACTAAAATGCCGGGAGCAAGGGGCTAGTAACCCCTTGTATATATTACTAAATTTGAAAGGAGAAACTTTCGTTTTTCCTTTTGAGCCACCCCCACCTCAATGGAATACGGCTGGTACGTTGAAAGAAAGAATATATAGGACATAGATAACAAAAGAAGGCATAAGACCGTGACTGGAACAACACATAAATGACCCGCACGTAGAAGAGAGGAGCTTACGACAACTGTATTCAGCACAGTAGAATGAGCTGAAGAATGACAGTTAACCCTTAAACTGTCCAAATGTAGATCTATGTTTTTCAACTTTTGAAAGTATGTAAAAAAAGTAGATCTTTTCTTTTTTTACATTTGAAAAAGTATAAAAAAAACTTCGATCTTTTTTTTATATATATTTGAAAATAAGTAAAAAAAAAAAAGGAAAACTACTTTTGCAGCACTACGCATGTGAACATAGATCAGCTTGGACAGTTTAAGGGTTAAACTCCTTAATGATATTCAAATAGATGTGACAGTTCTTAGTCATGCCAAGCCTGGCATGGCCAGTTACTGAGCTCATTATCTTCTGAAAACTCAAGCAAATAATTACATACAGTGGAACCTCGAATTTTGAATGGATCACTTATCGAACTCTTCGAAAATAGAACCCTTTTTTCGAAGCAACTGTGTCCCTATTATCGAACTCGCCCCTATTTTCGAACTGCCGGGTACTGAACTTGTCCGGCAGCCTGCTCTGTCTGCGTCCCCATGCAGGCGCCATGAGCCAGTCTGGTTTTGTTGATGCTTGAGTGAACACTAACCTGTGCTCTCAATCAAACATTTTACGATTATTTCATTGTGTTTAGTGCTTGTGGGACTGTGAAATAAGCTACAATGGGCCCAAAGAAACTTGCTAGTGGTACCCCTGTGGTAAAGAGAGAAACACCATAGATGTGAAGAAGGAAATAATACAGAAGTGGAATGATGTCCAAATGTTTGTGGAGAAGTACCACCCTGAGCAAGCTGAAACAAGCCATCTTTGCAACATGTTCAGTGACAGAACCATGTCCCATTTTAGGGAAATCTTAGAGGCACCAGAGACAGACGACTGTGGACAGTTACTTTGTGAGACGGGTCCAGTGACTCTCAAGCTGGTCCTAGTGTCATTAAAAGACAGAGAAGGAAAGTAACCCCAGAGAGGGCTTTGACACCTGAGGTCTTCATGGAGGGGGATTCTCCTTCCAAACACTAACTCCAACTCCCTCCCTCCCTCCCTATCTTCCAGATGCCATCACCAATCTTCAATAAAGGTAAGTAAAATGTTATTTTGTATGTTTATTTAAATTTATTAATACATAATTGAACACTATATTTGTTGTGTGTATGTAAAACTATAATTAATCTCTATAATTTTTTTTTTTTTTTAATATTTTTTCTTTTGTGAATATTTTTGGGTTTCTGAAACGGATTAATTGTATTTCCATTATTTCTTATGGGAAATATTGCTTCACTTTTCAGACTTTTCGAATTTAGAACTAACTCCTGGAATGGATTAAGTTCTATATTTGAGGTTCCACTGTATATGCATTTTGTTATCTGATTTTATATCTATTGTTTCATCAGTTTTCTTATTTGTAAATAGTTCCATAGCCTAGTCTGTCCTGTTAGATAATATCCTAATGCTAAGGGTCAAAAGGTGACGGCTTTTAGCTATCATTGTTGGTGCATTTTTTCTCTTATAAAAGCCTATTAGACTGCTTATAAATGTCACATTCAAAATTGTTCTCTTTGTTTATAGTGATGTATTACCAGTGCTTGAGGATGCTGTTGAAATAAAAACAGAAGCAGAAGCAAAGGTTGAAGAAGAAATGGAAACTGAGGAAGTTGTTACAAAAGTTGAGAAAGTTTCAACACCTGTTAAAGAAGTAAAATCCAAAAAAGAAGAGATAGAAACTGTAAAAAAAGAAATGAAAGGTGTAGAAGAAAAGGAGACAGGTGAGAAGGATGAACCTGCTCCAGTAGTTTCCACACCACGTAGCCGAAGGGGAAAGGTAAAAGGAAGGGGACGTGGCGGGAAGAAGTAGTGTGTCAAGTCAAATCTTCATTGCATCACATAACCAAAAGTCTGCCGGTAAGTAGTGATAACCATTAACCAGTGTAATTTTATTTTGTTCCCTGTATAATTATTAAATTCTTATCATATTTAGCTTATGGTTGTTAATTGTTTTTGCGATCATATGAGAAGCATCTGGTTAGAAAGCATTCAGTTGCCAGAAGTGGTATTATTTGTGAAGTTGCTTAATGAAACTGTGTACAAGTTGATATTGCAGACTATGAAGAGAATAGAAAGAGTAAATGTGAAAGTAGGTGGATAAGATTCTGATTATATTTTTTGGGGGCAAGGGGCTTAAGAGAATACAATCTTAAAAGAAACAAGTATCAAAAACAAAAAAATGAGGATTCAAGTGGAATTCTCTCATAGTCAAAGTGGTGAGATATTGAAATAATACATTTAAAGTATTAGATGGAGAGATGATTTTGAGAGCAGATACTGTCCTGGTAGACGGTAACTGTAAGAATACAGAAATGAAAGTCGGTGGCCCGGAGGTAGACAGGAGGTCTAGTGGGGAAACGGGTATAGACAAGGACCTGCAAAGCTCAATGTTAAAAACTAGCCATACCACTGGAGATAGTAAACAAGGGGATGCCCCAAGGAATAGTGAAGATAAAATACTAGAAAAAAACGTGTGAAGGCACCATTGTTAGTACAAGTGCTGAAGATAGTACAGAGACAGAAAAACACGCACCAGGAGGGAATGCAAAACCAAGGCAAACAGAAATCAGACCTATGCAAATTCTATGCATTAGGTATCTGCCGTCATGGAATATCTGGAAAAACAGATAGGGCATGCAACTTTGACCACCCCAAAAAATGCTGTGTCACTCTTGAGTTCAGGAACGACAATGCTATAACTTTTATTGTCAGGCACACCACCTAAAGGGAACAAGATGCAGAATATACAGACCATGGGAAAACGTGAGTAGCCACAACCACTCCAGAGAGAGGTTTTTTAGTGCCAGGAAGGAAAAACAGCTGGCAGGAAATGACAGAAATCTTACACCAACTCCAATCATTTCTGGAGTGGAATCAGTCAGTGGCCCCCACTCCAAAACAACAAATATTAGTGCCCCCCCCCCCCCCCCAAAAAAAAAAAAAAAAACCGCCCCAAACCACCAATATGATGACATTCTTCTTAGCGAGTATACAGGGTCTAAAGCCAGCAACGAACAAAACACCTTTCACCCATGGACTGCTTAGTCAAATGCAATGTTCACAGTTTTCACAGAGACCCACATAAAGGATCACTTTGCAATGAAATATGGATCCCGGGCTATAACCTATACAGATGCGACAGAATGAACAAGCAAAAGGGGAGGGGTTGGCCTATACGTCACAGAGTCGCCGATATGCTCAGAACTACTAAATGCTTCAAATGATGTAGTTGAAGTTTTGACAGTAAAGATCGAGAACCAAAACCTGGTCATTGTGGTTGTATACAAGCCTCCAGATGCAACTTCCAAAAAATTCCTGGAGCAGCTTTTGAAAATAGACTACTGTCTGGAAAATCTTCCAGCTCCTACCCCAAATATCTTGCTCCTGGGGGATTTCAACCTAAGGCACCTAAAATGGAGGAATGTAGCAAATAATGCTGTAGCAGAGGTAACCCCAGGAGGCAGCTCAGATGAAAATTTGCACGTGCGCGCGCGCGCGCGCGCACACACACACACACACACCACACCACACACACACACACACACACACACACAACACACACACACACCACACACACACACACACACACACACAACAACACACACAACACACACACATCACACACACCACACAACACACACACACACACACAACCACACACACACACAACACACACACACACACACAACACACACACACACACACACACACACAGAGAGAGAGAGAGTAATGTGTATGTTTTTTCACAAAAAAAGATCCACATTTGCCCACATTGTTCCCAGAGAGAATTGTCATACCACATAATATTAACTGGTTTACTTTGATCTAGACCTTGCTTTGACTAAACGCTTGTCAAACCTCGATCTAAGATGCTCACACATTGCAGCTGAATTTTCATGTCCCCCACCACTTTAAACTTCTTTCAGACTTGTCCTCATTGTTTTCCATCTATGTATGTTGCACATTATTCCATCCCTTCCAAATGTTCTTCACCACCTCATTTCTTCGCTCCATATTCTCTTCGTGATATTTACAACATGCATTGATATGATGCATCTTCACAGTCTTCGGCCTTCTAATTGTAGAATTTCTTCTCTATTTTTTTATGCAGAGGGACCATCCATTTTTTCCAGTTGTTTGGTACCAATCTGTTTTCAGTATTTCGGTCTTATGGCAGATCAAATTTTAATTTTAAATGTTTTGCTCTATATAGGTCTTTATCAGGTCATGTTAAGTCATCATACATGATTAACATGTACCCACAGTGAAATGTCATCTTTAATAAAGGTTTGCTCTGTACCAACTATCTTCCATACTTGTTAGCAGCAACTGGCATCCAACATCTCAACCTACCACGGCCTCCAAACTTTTCTTCAGAATTTTTTCCAACCTAACATTACTATTCTTTCCTTTTTGCCCTATACATGAAATTATCTCCTCCCTTTTGATTATCATTGTTCAAATCATTTTCCATGTTATTTCTCTCTCCAAATGTTTAATATTTTCTGAAAAGTTTACTGTTTAAAATTCTTATTCTCTTGTTTGCTCTCTTTTTACTCCTTAAGCACATTCTCAATTGGGATAGTCAGATGTATAGATTGTGTGCAGGAAGAGTTTTTGTATACATTGTTATGTGATTTGCTGTTTTAGGATGACAAGATTTTCAAGATTTTATAGATAGTAGGTTAGTAGATGCAGCCACCCAGTGAGATACTACCGTCCTGCCAAGTGAGTGTGAAATGGAGACTTGAAATTGTTTTACGAGATGGTAAGATTGCTGGTGTCTTTTATTCTGTGCCATAAATATGCAAGATTTCAGGTGTGTTGCTACTTCTGCTTACACTTAAGTCATACTACACATACATGTACATGCATATATATACAAACCCCTCTGGGTTTTCTATTTTCTTCATAGTTCTTGTTTATTTCTGCTTATCCACGGGGGAGTGGAACAGAATTCTTCTTTCGTAAGCCATGTGTTTCATATGAGACGACTGAAATGCTGGGAGCAAGGGGCTAGTAACCCCTTCTCCTGTATACATTACTAAATTTAAAAAGAGAAACTTTTTTTTTTTTCTCTTTGGGCCACCCTGCCTCTGTGGGATACTACTGGTTTGTTGAAAGATGATGATTTATAATAAGCACTAAATCTGTATGGGTCATACAGTGTATGGGAAATTTGAAAGGTGGGGGGAAGGAATCAAGTCTGATCAAAGGGAATGGAGGATAGCTCCAATTCCTTGGATGAAGAGCTCTTTGTAAGCCTCAAAGCACACTCTGGATAGAAAAATTTGGTTGTACCCTTTTTCCTGTTTGGCCTACCTTGACTAAATATCATAACTTCTTTGATGTTAAAAGCTTGTACATTTTGGAATGCAGCTAAGAGTTGTAAATCATGTATTTGCATTGCTAAGGGGATTTAACCTTTTTTTAGAAGAATGTCCAATCATTGATGTAAAATAATTATGCTTGAAAGAGGTCATGAAACATAAGGTTAAAGTAGGGATAAATTTATTTTTATTTAAGGAGTGTGACTGATTTAATTTTTTCTCCATAGTCTGTCATGAAGAAAGAGCTGTGGAAGAAGTGAAGAGAAAGGATAGAAGAAAATACTGCATATATTCCCAGAAATATAAATTCATGATTGAAAATAGACAGCAGCAAGTACTTGATGTATATAAATAAGTAAATTATTGAGCATTGTGTGTAATGTAAACACTAATATAGTTTTATTGTTAGTGATTTCGTAAGTGTACCCAAAGATTGCATAACATTTTTTTTATATTTGTACTTCGTAAAAAAATTAAATTGGATGAGCACCTTGAGAAGGAGAATTCTTGTTTTTAAATGGCAAAGCAGCATTATACAGTATATAAAGAGTTAAATGTGTAGTTAGTTTATATTAGAATTGATTTATACAACTACTTAAAAAGCTTTTACATGTCATACAACCTGTATAATGATCATAACTTGTTACCTGTACTTTCAACATGAAGCTTAATATTGTAGTTACCAAAGACTTTGTATGTAGCCTTATTTAGCTTTGATGAACATTTAGGACATTAAAAATGCAGTTTCATTTCATGCTCATATTTTAGTCTTTATATCCAAATCATATACTGAATATACATGCATATAAAAAGAGCGGAGGTATTTCGTCCTTATAAGACATTAAAATATAGATTTGTTTACATGGTAATCTCTCATTTTATCATTTTCCATGTACCTGGGGTATATAAATTAGAAATTGTGGCATGAAGTTTTGCCAGTACACATTGGCTACTACTGAATATAATACAACATAGAAGTTTTGGGTATTCACTTTCATTATGTGTAATGTAATATTTGTTATTGAATTTACGTACTGTAGAATTTGTCAAGCAGGTTTTAGAAATCCTATACAGCATTTGTTTGCTTGAACAAATATTGTTAAGCAGATTGAAATGATTGTCAGGCACCTGTTTACAACAGCTACTTCAATTATTTTTGTGAATTTTTAATTTATATTCAACAATGTCAAGGATTCCTTCAGTGCTTACAAACTGGACCTAGTGAAGGAATAAAAGTAAATAATTGTTTACCAGTATAGAACATTCATCTTTTTTCAATATTAAGTTGTTGCATTTACAATTTTATTTGTAAAATTTAGGTGTTTTCTGTGTAACCTTTTAGTACCACTGACGTCGCCATAATTGCTTTTCCTTTTTTATTTAGGATCGTACTTTTTTCACTGTACCAATTAAAAGAATAAAATGTGGTTTTATGTTTCTTTACCCTGTTTTTTCAGGGAAGTAAAATTTCAATTTGCTAGTTTAATAAAGCAAATTGTTTCCCATGTAATAACTAGTTGATGCTTCTTTTGATCAGCTTCAAACTCTAAATACTGATGTATCTTAACCCTTTGAAAAGGGTCCAGAGGCCAAATCTCATAGTGACAGCCAGGGTCAAGAATTTAAAAGTTTATTTTTCTTATGAAATGGTAGAGAATCTTTTTCTGAAGGTAATAAAGAAAAAAGTACGTAATTTGATGAAATTACACACTCCTGAATTTTGCTGCGTCAGTGGTATGTACACATAGGTGATTTTGTTGACTTTGACTCCCATTGTAGGCCAGTTACATTACTCCACCTCTTGAAGGGGGGGGCTCCTTGTCATGGTGAAGAGGCTCTTGGTCTGAGGAATTAGACCTGTTGGTCTTCCTCAGACCGAACCTAATTACCCCCCAATCCCCCCTTCCCTATCCTATCCTCCCCTTTTTCCTTTCCTCCTCCTCCTCCCACCCCTCCCTTTTGCCTTCCTCTTTTTGGCTTTTGGGATTTTTCCCCACAGGCACACTAGTTCCTAGGTTGGGGAAAGGGTACCAGGGTCCATCCCATTCCATTGAGGTTCTTGGAGGTGGCTTAGTTGGCCATGGAATCTTGATGGCCTGGGGATGTCCCGATCCCTCTCCGGTATCCCGGAGGGTGGCTTTGGGTGTCTTTTGGGCGATTGGTGTATCTCTGGAAGCCACCTTTTAGATTCCGGGGATGGTGGCCGAAGGAGGTATGCTTTGTGGCAGATATCCGGCCGCCCTCTCTCTTCTCAACCGAGGTAGCTCGGCAGATGTGAGGTTGCTATCCCGAATTGCTGGTTTACTGGCATGGAGGGTAGGGTATGCCATGGGTTACATGCTATATCTGCGCTACTTGCGGTGCTGAGGTCCTTTTGGGCACGGAGGGAGATTTCTGGCCCTTTTATTCCTCCTAGGAACTATCCCTCCCCAGTCCCCCCTTTTTTTATTCTTTTTTTCTTTTTTTCTTTCTTTTTTTTAAAAACAAAAAGAAAGAAGTAACCGAACCATGGAGTTCCCAATCCGTGACTCCACTACCCCCGGGCCCCTTCTTGTTACCGCACCCCATTCTGACCTCGCCTCGTCTTTTGACCACTCTTTGGACACTCCTAAGGCCCCTGTACCTCTTGCTGGTGCTGTTTCGTCACCCACTTCAGGTGCTGGGGTTTTGACTGACTCCTTCGATTTGTCTGATCACTTTCCTTTGACTGTGCTTCCAGCCTCTCCCTCTACGGTGCGGCAATTTTCGAATCGCCAGCCCGTCCCACGTCGGACCATCTCTGGTCCCACTTCTAAACGCCAACAATAATCTGATGATGTTACTTCGTTATCTTCCCATTCTACTCAGAAAATAGACTGACCACGTCTGCACTGCCCTCTCCACATCAGTTTTGGATCACACAATGGACTAAATTCTTTACTTTAAAATCGACTTCTACTTCTGCCTATCTTTCCGACCATATTATTGGCAAGAGCTCCCTTACGCATGGTTGGTAGAGATATTCAATTTCGTGCTCTCAAGAGCGGTATGTGCATCGTCACTGTCCAGAATGCTACCCAAGCTCATGATCTTTCTCTCCTTTCGCATATCGATACTACTCCTATCACTATTGAAAAACATCATTCTCTCAATTCTTGTAGTAGTACTGTCATTCTGCCTCATACCATAGTCCAACAATTTCCAGACATGTGGCAATGACATTCTTGAACAGCTGGAACTCCAGGATCTCCCAATCCTCAAAGTAGACACTTTGAGGCTCGATTAACTTTCAACAGCCGCGAACTCCCGTCCTCAGTTTGTCGCAGGACATCGGTTACAAGTTCGAAAGGTGATCCCTACACCGCAACAGTGTAGAAATTGCTAGCGTTTTGGTCACCCAGCGAAATATTGCAGATCTATAGCTGAATGCCCAGTCTGTGGTGCCGATGACCATTCTAATACGTCTTGCCATCGACTTCCCTTCGTATTCTCGCTGTTGCCAGGTCTACTTAAATGAGCGTGAAATCCGTTGCCTCAAAGAAGCAGAAGGTCTCCCCTATGCTATCCTCTTCAAGGGGGGCTCCTTGTTGTGGTGAAGAGGATCTTGGTTGAGGAAATTAGACCTGTCGGTTTCTACTTTCTCAGACCGAATCCTAATTACCCCAAATCCCCCCTTCCCTCATCCATCCTCCCCTTTTTCCTTTCCTCCTCCTCCTCCTCCCACACCTCCCTTTTGCTCTTACTCTTTCTGGCCTTGGGATTTCTCCCACAGGCACGCTAGTTCTTGGTAGGGGAGAAAGGATACCCAGGATCCATCCCATTCCGTTGAGGTTCTTGGCGGTGGTGTAGTTTGACGTGAAAAATCTGGATCGCCGGGGATGTCCCGAATCCCTCTCCGGTATCCCGGAGTGTAGACTTTGGGTATCTTTTCGGGCGATGGGTGTTATCTCTGGAAGCACCCTTTCAGGATTCCAGTGGGTGGTGGACGAAGGAGGTAAGCTTTGTGGCCAGAAATCCGGCCGCCCTCTCTTTTTGTCCACCGAGGTAGCGCGGCAGATGTGAGGTTTGCTATCCGGATTGCTGGTTTACGGCATGAAGGGTAGGGTATGGCATGGGGGTTCCAGGCTGCATCTTCACTACTAGCGGTGCTGAGGTCCTTTTGGGCGCGGAGGGAGGATTTCCGGCCCTTTCATTCCTCCCTGGGAACTATTCCTCCCCCGCTCCCCCCTTTTTTATTCTTTTTTTTGTTATTTTTATTTTCTTTCTTTCTTTTTTTTCTTAAAACAAAAGCAAAGGAGTAACCTAACCATGGAGGAACCCCAATCTATGACCCACTTACCAGGGCCCCTTCTTGTACGCACCCATTCTGACCTGCCTTGTTTTTAGAACCACTTCGGACACTCCTGATGCCCTTGTACCTCTTGCTGGTGCTGTTTCCTCACCCGCTTCAGGTACCAGGGCTTCTTCGGACTAGTAACCCCCTTCGATTTGTCTGACCTCCGCTCTCCTTGGACTATGCTTCCGGCCTCTCCTCTACGGTTACTGCAATTTTCGAATCAACAGCCGTTTTCACGACGGACCAACTCCGGTCCTACTCCTAATCGCAACGTCAATTCCTGATGAGTTCCTTCGTTACTTCCCATTCTACTCGGAAAAACCGGACACGTCATGCATTTCCCTCTTCCACGCTCAGTTTCGGGACCACACAATGGACTTAAAATTCTTTACTTTAGACGACTTCTTTTCTTCTGCCCTATCTTTCTGACCATAGTATGGCCAAAGCGCTCCAGCGTCATGTTGGTAGAGATTTTTCATTCATTGCTCCTCCGAGTGGTAGGCGCATCGTCACTGTCCAGAATGATACCAAAGGCTCGGATCTATCTCTCCTTTCGTATTATCGTACTACTCCTTTCACTATGAAAAACAAACATTCTCTCAATTCTTGTAGTGGTACTGTCATTCTCCCCATACAAGTCCAACAGAATTCCAGCCCATGTCAAACATTTTGAACATGGAACTCCAGGATCTCCCAATCCTAAAAGTAGACACTTTAGCCTTCCTCCCGGGGGCGGAGACTTACCCTTGCAATTGGCTCGTTAATTTTTGACACCGAAACCCCGCCCTGAAGTCGCGGGACATGGGTTTACAATTTTGAAAGGTGATACCTACACCGCAACAGTGAGAAATTTGCTGGCTTTTGATCACCCGCGAAATTTTTCGATCTATAGCTGAATGCCCACCCCTGTGGTGCCGACGACCATTCAAATACCTCTTACAGTAAACCTCCATCTTCCCTTTAATTGTAAAAACCACCCTTGTACCCCCCTTTGCCAAGTCTACTTAAATGAACTAAATCCTTTCCTCAAAGGGGCAAAGGTCCCCCTTATGCATGGCATTTTTACCATCCTGCCCCCCAAAGGAGACTACCCCGTTTTCTTATTCTCGTGTTTCAAAACATCCCCCCCTTTCGGGGGTCCCACTTCCAGCCTCCTCTTTTTACCCCCCCCAGGCCACCTGGCATCTAACCCTTTTTGCTGCCCTTTTGCTCGATGTCCCGACTCAACCAGTCTGTCTCACTCTCACGTCCCCCTCACAAGCCCCAGACGACAAAAGGGCCCGTACGACACCTAATAAAAATCGCCCCTCTACTTCCAGAAGTCCAAAAAATCACTTTGTTTAAAAAAATCTTCTTTGCCCCTTCCTTTCCTTCTTCCACCTCCACACTTTACTTTCCATCTCTGTGCCTAGTTTTTCCCCTCTCTCGGCTCTATTGGCCCCTCGGGGAAAGGGTTCCTTATGTTGGGGGGGGGCTCTTGTTTGGGGAATTTGGATCTTCTCCAGCCCCCCAAATTTAACCCTGAATGTCTTCCCACCCCCCCCAGGCCTGTAAACCCTTTTGGTTTAGCGCTTCCCCTTTGAAAAATAATAATAACGGGCTCTTTCAATGTGGAATTCACCCTCCTCCTCGTACTTTGCCTCCACCCCCTCCCCTCCCAAGTTTTTTCCCCCCCCTTTTCTGCCCCATCCCAGTTTCTGCCTCTTCTGTCCCCCCCCCCACACTTCATCCCGTCCCTTACACTTTTTCGTCCCCCTCTACTTTGGTACGTCCATTACTGTCCCAATCTTTACTCACCCTCCCCCTTCTACTCCAATATGGTCTCCCATACATTTTTGAATTCAAAACACTTGAAGCCTTTTCAAATATATTGCAGAGACTAACCTTTAAATGGACACTGCTTTCACTTCCTGTTCCTTCTTTTCCCCCTCCCCATTTTTTGGGAACCTCCATTCCTTCGCTCTTGAACATCTTTCCCAAACCACCCCCACTTGACTTTTTTAACCCCTCTAGTCCATAGGTGCCTTTTCCCCATGATTCCCGGTATTTTCTTTTCGCCAATCTGGCCTTTTCAGTGAATATCCGCGCCCGGGGTAATCGGGGGAGCTTTTA